GGTGGCTAATTCCCATGATTTTTCATCGAAGTTTGACAACTCATTTAATGAGGAATATTTATAAGGCAAACAAATGGGTTCTAGAATAATATTCAACAATTATTACAAAATGGGTATTACTCTAATTTACCAAATTGCTAAATGTTAAAAGTGAGAATCGAAAGTACACCTTCGTAATTGTTGGTGAGTTTCTTCGAGAAGGATGAACAAAACGCCGGCTTATGGTCTCTGAAGTTTCCAATGTTATTGAAACCTGCAAGGCACCAAACATGCTGGTTAAAAGGTCAATTAAACCTCAGTAAGTCTTTATTTCTTATGGTAATTTTCCATTGCTTGTAGTATAAAGTTACCTCAAGGCATCTCCGAGCTCCTTCATGAAAGAAAGTAAGAGTTCCACCTATCTGTCACCATAACAGTTCAACAAAACGTACTGGGGGAAAGAAGGAAAGAACGTTGAATTATGCAAAGAGTCGTTTAAAATTGTCATTACCATATCACTGAAGTAATAAGTTGAATCCGAGTTCTTTGGAGAAAATCTTAGCACAACTTGGTCATCCATCCTGATGTTATAAGACCTTCCTCGAATAAAGCCTTCTGCTGCGGAAAATGTTTGCAGCAAATAAGTTTACACAATTTATTACAAAAAACAATTGTTTGTTCCTCCATTGTAAACTAAGGGAAAGGCATTAATAATGATTTAAAAGAAGATACTAGTATGAACCAACAGCTCACATTGAAGACAAAAATTCTAAGGAAGAGCATCCACCCTACACAAAGACAGCCCAGAAACACCAATCATAACAACCTCTCCCTGGTCAAAAAGAAAATTATCTATACAAAATTACCCAATACTCCTTCCTGATTAAGGTCGGAGTCCAAAGTGAAGCATAAAGCCAAATTTCTCCCCACAAACTACAACTGTTTTTGATAGAGAAATAGAGAACCAGAAGAAGCACAAAATAGATTATAGAAAAATTGGAGAAAATAGAAGAATAGACTAGGGAGAACAACAAGAAAAGGGGGAAAGGAAATTTAGAAGAATTAGAGACATAAGAAAGAAACCGAGAAGTCAGAGGAGAGAAAACCGTTATTCATATATCATAATCAATCTCCTATATATATATATATCAACCATGTCACGAATAACAATAGATGCCTTTGAAACAGAATCTGAGTCCTAATTAAATCAGAAATAAATCCTAAACCTAAAACAACTCAAACGAAAATTAAACTCTAAAAATACTTTGACAAAATCCCTAAAATAATTCAAACAAAGACTCAATAACCTTAGACTAATTATACTCTTCCTACATCAATTTCCAGTTTCTCCCCTTCAAAATATAGTTGTTTGTTTCTAGCTGTTTTGCCCAAAAGAGAGCAACTAGTGCACATGTACAAGTAGTCTTGGTTTTCTTTCCTTTTACAAAAACAAAATATGCTCCAAAAGTTTTGCATCACATGAACCTGGGCTAACCCAAGCTATTATGGCTATTTTGCATATTCTAGCCACAAATTAGAAGCCCCAGTTCAATGAAAAAAAAGATGATTTGCAGTCTCTTCACTTCTTCGACAAATCACACACCATGAAGGCAAAAGGCACATCTTTGGATACTTCTCAGGCATTACAAAAGTTACAATCATATCCAAGATAAATGGGATGCATTCCTAAGAGAATGAAATAAAAATAAGTGAAGTGAGCTTACATGCTGCAGGTTCAATGGCTCGTAATCGAGGTGAAGGTGATAATCCTGAGATATCATCAGCAGATAGGGGTTCTGTAAGCTTCTGCTGTTCACTTGATGACACGATATCTGTTTTTAAAAATAGCCTATGGTTAGAAAAGCTCTCCTTCCTAATCAAATTAATAACATAACAAACTTTCCATTACTTAGGTGAGCACGGTGAATAATTCACAAGGAAAACTTCATATACATTTAAATAAACTAAACATGTGAAGTGTAATTACTATTTCAGGACTCAAGAGAGAGAAAGAAAGAGAGAGAGAGAGAGAGAGAGAGAGAGAGAGACTCAATAAACCTAATGGTCAGGAGTCTCAAATATAACTCACTGACCTGCACTAGAGTCATACAACACCTCTGCTGCTGATAGCCGAGGAAGTGCTGCATTTGAAGATAAGCTTGGACGTTCTCCATCCAGATTTGGAATATCCTTGGTCGAAGATCTTGCAGTAGATGATTGCAAAGACAATGAACTTCCAAAAGTTTTAAGCATGCTTTCTTTACTGGGGTTGTAGGAAGAAACAGAAGAGATCTCATCCCTGGAGCTTGCATACCCTTCCTCAACTCCATCATATATCTCATTTGCTCTAGCCTGTGTCAGAAAACGAATTTAATGAGTAGCCATAATTTCAAACTGTCAACAAAAAGAATTGCTTAAAAGAAGATGCCATCATAAAGGTTCTAAATTACTCAAAAAATGAGTAGGCTTTTAAGATAAAAAGATGATTATACAATACATAGATAAGAATCACTAACATCTCACCCATTCAGAGTCTCCATCCATCTCTTTCCAATATATATCCATTTGGATGGTTGTAACAGGAACAATTCCTGAAACCATTGAGAAGATATCAAGCATAATTCATATGCCATTCTTTTAATATAACGGATGCAGCTGCATATATTAATACTGTATCACCGAAAATTCAGAGAATCAAGTAACAGAATCTCATTTTGGGCTGTGCTATAATATGCATAGCAGGGTTTCGTCATTTTCAAACTACCATTTTAAGACTTATTTCCACCAAGCAACTTACAAGAAGAATAAAAATCATCTTTTGCTAACTACCATACAGATACACAATATTCCAGATACAGATGCCAGAAAAACTTTGCTCATATGGAAATAAACTAATTGAAGTACAAACCACTATGTACTTATCCTCTTTTCTCTACTAGTAAGAATTTACATTGAAGAGCAGGAGCACAAGGGTGCAAACCCTAGTACACAGGAACAATTCTTAAATGAGAAGCCTTACAAGCTTCCAGAATTTCAAAGTGCATCCACACTCAATTAAGCCAACTCACGATCACTTTATCCATCAAGCATGCAACTTGGGCAATAATGATGGACAACTTTGACTGACACTTTGCAGTTCAGAAATAAAATCCATTAGTACAAGAATTCAAAATTCTGTTAACAAACGTATAGAGAACTGTTTATTAAGATGTTTCCCTTATAATCATAGAAAGAAGAAAATTCTTTCTCAGTGTATTAGAACAATTAAAGATAATTATCCGAGCATGTTGCTATAGTCAGACCACAATCAAACAGTAGAGTGACAAGATTGAATATTGACTTAACCCTGTTGCTGAAACATGCTGAGCAGCATGTAATAACCGTCAAAACCTTTGACATTAAAAAATCCATTATGCATAACTTTTAGGTCATATAAGAAAGTACTTGCAAAAATTAAAACAAGTCAGAAGAACAAAGAATATTGAGTTCAGTCGCCCTTCATAATCGGCTGTCAATAGTTCCTAGATAATTGTTGTTGCATTAAACAATGACATGATAACTCTATCATAGTAATGACTTTGAATACATCCTGGAACTATTTGGTATAAAAGGAACCGAACAGCAGCTTACCTTCAAGTTGACCTTCTTCCATTAGCAAGCCATTGTTTTTCTGAGTGACCCAAATTTGTAATGGTATACGAGCTTCCTGTTGAAATTAAAAACACACCTCCATTACTGTAAGGAAATTTAGGAGTTCCAAGCAAATCCATACATACAAAAATTTATATTTTTACAAAGTATGAAATTAGAATAAAAAATAGTGACTCCAAAAGTCAAAAGTAAATAAAGATATTGTCAATATCTAAAGTATCAGAAAGGTCTGTAACAACAAGAAATGAGAAACAAAATATCAATTAACCATAATCATCTTTATAAAGAAATAATCACATTACACCATGTATCATAAAACACACGACATGTACAATGTAAATGAGAACACCTGATCAACCCTAACAGAAAGCATGTTATAACCAGACATTATTAGCAAATAAAGAATAGCCCTCACTCCCAAAAGCTAATTAAAATCGTGGTGCACAATGTTTATCAGAAAAGTCAATCACGGGGCTACAACCAACAGAAGAAAAGTCAATAACACGGAAGAATACAAAAACTTCAAAAGCAGAGCACAAAAAGTCGCAAAAAAATGATCCTTGGTGAAGCAGTGCACAATCCATATGTAAAAGATAATGCAATCAAACCAAAATCATTTCAGCAGTGCCTATAGCGAATAAGAAAATTTCAAGAACAAACCACTTCAGTAACATCTTTTATTGACTCTCTATGAGTGTTCCCGTTTTCCAGTATCAGCCACCGTCCGGATAGCGAACTCTTAACATAGTACATGTAGCGAATGGTCGTACCTCGGTAAGAGGGTGGTATAATGCTTGGCAACTCAGTCCGGACAACATCTGCAGATAAGCAAAAGTGTTCTAACAAATTAACTATCTTGAACCAATATATAGTATGAAAGAGGTAGATATTTTTTATATATTTGAGGAACTGGATACGCCATGAATTATAAAGAAACATAACAAATAATCGTACACCAGTCGCAAAGAAACAGCAGTTTGTCACCAACTTTTACAAATCATTGACCAAGATTGGACAAAGCTTCTAAACTACCAACTTTTTGGAAATTATGATTAGCTAGTCAGATTCCAATTTTGTATGCGAATCCCAATGTGACTGTAGTTATTTTCCTTTTTTCTATTACTTCTACCTACAGTGTAATTTACATATCTCCAACCATCCCTCCACTTTTATTCTTTTCTAAGAACTCTTGCAGCATTTTTTTTCTGCATCTAAAAATGCATCAACAAATCTCTTTGCCCAGATAAAAAAGTGGAGATAATGCAAAGAGATGTAACCTCTGAAAACCATATCAAAATCAATCTCTAGACCTTCAAAAAGGAAGCCCAACAAGGACCAAACAATTGGTGAGGCTGGACACCTACTATATATAACATGACTAACTGAAGTAATAAATTATTGTCACAGGAGAAAAAAGCTAGTCATTGTTGACTGAAAGAATCATCTAAGCTTAAATATATATCTAGATTTACATCCCTGTAGCAGGTTTGGCAAATGTGGTGACATATTTCTATGATTAAGCTCCTACATTGTTGTAGAAATCACATTTGATAATTTTTGTCTTCCTGTTGGTTCTTGGTTTCATTTTTCTTACCATATCAATTCATCTTCCCAATTTTACACCTCCTTCACTTCGTCCTAATAATATCATCAAGTTTAACAAATTTAATATTCGTTACAAGTCCTGTTTCTAATCTAAGATAGACTTTAGTGTGGTCTCAGAGATACTAATTATAAATCCATTCACTGGATCATAATTAAAAATTCATCATAACAGAAATAGCAGAGCCAGATGACACCCAGTTTGAAATGTACTTAAAGGTTTGAGAGAATTCATGTCAACAAAACATCTAACAAACAGACAAATTTAATGCCAAAATTAAACAGAACGCGAAAAAAAGAAAAAAAAACTTACATGATTTTGTGGCACCAGATGACACAATCTGATTTGAAATCAATGACGAAGCTGAACTGTCCAAGAAAACATGTTCACCTGAAAACCCCGATTCAATTTAAACATCTTAATCCATTATAATAGAACCAGATCCCATAAATTTGTTAAAAAGTTAAAAAGAAAACCTCTTCTCTGTTTGGATCCGGGAAGTGGCTTCTGAGTAGCGAACCACTGACTATCCAACTTCTCAATCCCTTTGATTTCAAATGCAAGGCTTTCAATCAATAACGAAGAGAGAGAAGCATCGTCACTGAGAGGATTGCAGATCTCGATCGTAATGTAAAGGGAGTCGCCAGGCCTGTACACATCTTTATCTGTTTGTAGTTTTAGCCTCGGCAAGACTTCGCTGTCTCGGGAATTATCCACCGGCTTGTACGATCCGCCTCCGCCACCGCCACTACCGAACAGAGAAAACCTGGCGCCCAACATTGCTTCACCAGCCAAACCCTAAATTTTTCATCTGGGGAATGACCGTGTAAAAGAAATGGTGAATTGAAGTTCAAGAGTTTCTTCTTCTTCTCTATGGTTGGTTTAGTACTTGATTTTGAAATTCAAGCTGCTTGGTCTGCTCCCAATCGTGTTACTGTTGGACTCCCTCATGTTTTAAATATTGACACTTACACCCTAGAGTCTTTGAAATATATCATTAAATCTACCTTAAAATGAAATACCGTTTTTCAAGATTATACCTCTAGGGATTTAAGAACTAGGGCTGTCAGGCGAGCGGAGCCGCTCACAAGTAGCTCAGGCTCGGCTCAAGTTGAGCTCGAGCTCAAGTAGCTCATGAGCTTAATTGAGCTCGACTATTTTAATTTTATATAGCTTAATTGAGCTTGACTATTTTAATTTTATATTAATATAAAATTAAAATAGTCGAGCTCAATTAAGCTCATGAGCTGCTTGAGCTCGAGCTAAAATCGAAAACCATCTACCACCCAAAGAAATGAAATCGAAAACCACCCACAGAATGATAGAAATGAAATAAAAAACCATCGATTCTACCACTAACAAAAACTCAAACCAAAATTTATTACACCTGGCCACAAAACCCACCAACCACCAACAGCCACCGTTAGCCCATACTTGTTGAACAAAAATTCATCCCACCCCACCATTCTTATTGTCGTAAAAAATCTTTCATGAGAAGATGGGGAACGGTGATAACGTCGAGAGGTCGATGACATAGAGGAGATGACCCATGGCGTGGAGGAGAGAAGCCGTCGGGTTGAGGTTTGCCTGCCTCAAGCCAGATCTAGCTTGGGCTTGCGCTCTCAACGACATTATGACCCATGGCATCAAGGAGAGAGATGGTGGAGAGAAGCCGCCGGGTTGAGGTTTGCTCGCATCAAGCCAAATCTAGCTTGGGCTTGCACTGGCGAAGTAGCGTAGCTTGGTCTAGATTACCACTGATATCCATTCATCAACACAATACCAAGTCAGGTTTAGTGTCGGATTGGATTTTTTTTTTTTTTTTCCGTTAAGAGGATTGAAAGATGAAATGGAAGAAAAAAGGAAATGGGCTTAATTGGCTCGATTACAATGTAGTCGAGCTGCTCAAGCTTGACTATGTTGTAATCGAGTCCTTAAGCCAAGCTTGACTATGTTGTAATCGAGTCCCTAAGCCAAGCTTGAGCCTACCATATATCTATCGAGCTTGAACTCTAATTGTTCCAACCGAGTCGAGCTCGAGCTCGAGCTTCTTAATACTCAGTTAAGCTTGGCTCTATTACACACCTAGTAAGAGCCCCGAGCTTGGGTTGAGTTTGCCTGGGTTTTCTAAAAAATGCAAGTTTGGGCCTAGAAAAAGCCCGGGATTGGTTATATGAAAAAGGGGTATTTGATATTTTATTGAATAGTTAGGGGCTGTATGCTATTTCTTAGGGGTTATCAGTGATTTTATATGATGAAAAGTTTTTAGGGAGTTATCTAAATTTTTGAGGCTTTCTGAAATTTTATATAGCGAACTATATATAGTTTTATATAATCTCATATAATATACTGGGTCGTGTTTTCCTACCAAAGCCTCGGGTCGAGCCAAGCCCGACTGCAACTTATGCCCAGGCGGGCCAAACCAAGTTTTTTTTTTTTTTTTTTTTTTTTTTGATACCTCAAATTATTTTTATTAATTCTTTTAAAACTAAAATGTCCATATTTTTTCTTTGGAAAATTTACTTTTGTTATGCCAAAAGAATGCAGGGCTGACGTAAGGTCTAGTCAGCATGCAAAAGTCAGAGCATGGGTGCACCAGCAGCCGAGTCACGTGGAGAAAGGAGCAGCAAGCTTTTGTCAGAATAGTGGGTGCCTGCCAGACCAGCCAGAAGTTGTGGTGCTCCCACGTGTCCAATCCTTGCTCCAAATCTCGTAAATCACTCTAGAAGGTGGGCAATGTGACATAAAGAAAGATTTGCACGGATAATCCCACCAACTCACAGATTCAGTAATGATAACCTTAATCCATCCCACTATAAATTGAGAGTTCCTCTCTCACTTAGGGGATTAGCTATTCTCTCTCAAGGATATATAGCATTCTTTCTCTTACTATCATTTGTAAGTCAATCCACTAACGACACCTCACCTCTATCATTAATACAAACATCAGTGGACGTAAGATTTGCTTTCTTAGCATCCGAACCACTTTAAAAGCTATTTCCATTGCATTTATTCTCATTTTTTCTTGCATTCAGCGTGTCTTCTAGGCCAGCTCAGCATTGCATACGTGCGTTTAGTTGGTGTAGAAATCACGCATCAACAGTTTGGCGCTAGAAGGAGGGTTTGATTTAGTGTTCATCCTTCATTAGGAAAATCTCTAACTTACTGGCCCTACAACAGCAAATGGCCTGCCAGCCTAAACCTGAGAGAACCAACCAGGGTGCTGAGGGGATACCCCAAGTCCAGGAGGACACCTCTTCCGAAATACCTTCGGTTCTGCAAAATGGAGCTGGGGATATCCCATCAAGTTCACAACTTGACCCTGCCATTAGAAGCACCTGGAGAGGTTCGACAATACTCTCCAAAGGGGGAACCGAAGGTTAGACCGTTTGGACCAAGGCGTGCCAATCAAATCAGCTGGGGTGGTGCAACCGCCAAAAACGCCTGCAGGTCGCGTGAAAGCGCGGCAAAGGGAGATAGCCCGTGCTGCGAGCACTAGAGCGCATCAACGAAAGGGTAAGCAAGTGGCCAAAAATGGGCCTACAGGCTCCAAAGGGCCAGCAAACACCGGTCGCGTCCTGAGCAGAATATCAGTGGCCTTAAGACTCGGTGAAAAGATGCAGCCCGAGCTGTCCCATGCCACGTTGCGGGTACACCCCCATAAAAATGCCGAGCGGGGTGACTTTTATCACCTCCAGCAAAACGATCCTGATCGTCATCGTGCGGGGGGTTCCCACACTTCGTGGGGCAATTCGTACTACCGCGAAGGTCGTGAAAATACCTTGCATCATCCATCGCCATCACACGCCTCTAGCCAGCGTGTGTCGAGAGCGACCGGGGCCACCGATAGAGGCGCAGAGGAATTCGACCTTTGGACTTTCCTCAACCGTAATCACGAGGGTCAAACTCACATGGGTGAAAGCAATCCCCAAGTGGCTCCATTGCCTCAGATTGAAGAACTGCAGTGAGCTCTAGACCGATTAAGAGCTTAGTAAAATGAGCAAGAGCAGATCGCATCTGCGTCCCCTTCTCTCTCGAAATGCTAGCCGCTCCAGTCCCACCAGGATTCAAGATGCCTGACATGCGGGCGTTTGATGGAAATTATGATCCGTAGGATCATTTACATAAATTCAATGACCTGATAGAGCTTCATCAGGTCTCAGATTTAGCAAAATACCGTTGTTTGGCAGTAACTTTAACCTCTCATGTCAAACGGTGGTTCAGATCGCTCCCAGCGAGATCGATCAGTTCGTGGGCTCAGATAAGCGCGACATTCCTAAGGCACTTCCAAGTGAACCGAAAATTTTCAATGTCTTTGAGCTACCTCAGCAATATAAGGCAAAAGAGGGACGAATCCCTCTAGTCTTACATCGACCGATTTCACAGAGAACTCAACAAGGTAAATCATACTCCCAAAGAGTCTGTTCAGACTCTCATCATAGCAGGAGTTCGTCCACAAACCGACTTGTGGAAAGAGCTACAGGCCGAGGATGATGTTTCCCTTACCTAATTCTATAATCTTGCGGAGAAGTACCTCCGAATTGAAAATTCAGTGGTGGCGTTCCACCGCTGCAATCCTGGCGCATCAGGCAGTTCATTTGGTCGGGGGGAAAGTAGGAGACCTGATCGCAGATGGGCTACTGATGATCAGCGAAAATGAAAGAAACCTCGCTACGAGCCCAAAAAGTCTTATGCTCCTGTCCCTCGTCACGATCACGATAGAGATCAATATACGCCTTTGAATGCATCTGTATCGGCTATTCTTGATAAATCAGAAGAAGCCAGCCTGCTCGGAGAGCCCGAGCCCATGAAAACTCCCACGTCAGCCAGAAATAATAAAAAGTATTGTCGCTTTCATCGAGATAGCGGGCATCACACCGATGAATGCCGAGCTCTCAAGCAAGCAATCGAAGAACTCATCAAGGAGGGGCATTTCAAGGAGTATATTGACAACTCTGCTCCCGCACAGGAGAAAAGTCAGGGGGAACAAGGAAAAAGGCGTTGTGATCGCAAAGGATATTGCAGTGTCAATATGATCTTTGGAGGGTTGCACCTCGCGAGGAACACACAGGGTGCGTAGGAAAGATATGCTTGTGCAGCTCATCATGACCCCATCAGTGTGATGAACACGACGCAGCAACCACAAAAGGTTCGCAGGGAGGAGGAAATTTCCTTCTCCAAAAAGGATGCAGCCTATTTGCAACATTCCCACGACGACGTTCTTGTGATCACGCCCCTCATTGGGCGCCATAACGTCCGTAGAATGTTGGTGGATAATGGAAGTGCTGTAAATATCCTGTTGCAGACTACTTTCGAGAGAATGAACTTGGATGAGGCCAACCTGAAGCCCGCCTCGTTCCCTCTTTATGGTTTCATAGGGGACCACTTGATCCCCAAGGAATGATCCAACTTCCAGTCACGTTGGGTGACTTTGACGAAGTGTCCAAGGTTACTGAATTCTTGGTAGTGGATTGGCCATTTGCTTTTCATGGAATCTGGCGACCGCTACTAAGAAACTTCAAGGCAGTCACTTTGATACACCATCTAAAGATTAAGTTCCCCACCCCGACGGGGATAGGGGAAGTTAGTAGATCTCAAAGTGCATCTCGCGACTGTTACATAAAAGTAGTGCAGATGGCATGCAAAGGGAAGGGTATCTCGCATGGCATTCCCGGACAGGCTATGGCGATCAGCCGGATCAAGCCACAGCTTGGTCCAATCGAGGATAACATGGATCCTGAATTTAGGAAAGCCCTTCCAGTGGGCCAGTTGAGGATTTGTGTGAAGTATCGGTCGAACAAGGCGAGCCGAGCCGGGTGTTAAGGATTGAGAGCAATCTCAACCCCCAGCTCGCCTCCGAACTGATC